TGATTTATATACATTTTCTATTAATTATACGATAAGTATATTTTATAATGTCTATCTTGAATTGGCGACCAAAGCCCCGAATGACATCAATATCATTATAACGCCTAGGTCAATATTATACGATTTAGTTTAAATAGACATTGATACCAAAATGTAATTTATACAATAAACACTCAAAATGTATTACGATTTAATACAGCATTTTATTATTTTCTTGTTATAATAATTCCGGCACATAAATGCAGATGCAATACATTTTAGATTCTGAGCGCAGCGAGTGGTTTTACTATTCGGTTTTTATTATTGAACTATTTCTATAGGCATTTGACATTTTCGAGTTTTTTCAGTTTTTGTATGATTTAACTTGGTTAAAATACTATTTTTTTTGAGCAAAAATGTTTGAAAATTATACACGAGATTCATCATTTCATCATAAGTTGTACTTACAGGTAAAAAAATATAAAAGTTGAGCGTAACAGAGAAGATTTTTTGTATTAGCGTTCAGAGTTCAAAGTTAGAGACTTGACGAAAATCGTAAAAATCAAAAACGACATTTCGAAACACTTTTAACCGAACTTGGTTCAGAATCGTTTTCCGTTAAAAATGATTTATTGTTGTGTAAACGTATACAAATTGAATACCTTACTCTGTGCATCCTACTTGTTTCTTCTTATTGCCGGATTCGAAACGATAATCGGTACAGACCTCGTTACAATAATATGGGTTGGTCGCCGAATTTGTACATTTATATAATGTGGGCGTGATTTATTAATTTTTCCAGACACAGACTCCTACTGTACTATAGTAATTTACCTCCTATAATAATACGGTCATTACGTGACACAAAGAGTAACACTTGTAATCGGATAAAACAGATTCAACATCACCAACTGTATATTCTCGGCGGTTAAAAGTAAACTGTCAAATAGATTTATAATATGGCTTATTAATATAATATTAAGTGCGCGGCGTTTCGTATCCTGTTTACACTACACAATTTTCGAATACCATCATAACACACAGAATAGGTAATAGGTGCGCTATGTAATATTTCTCCACGTAATTTCGTCATAATTTTAATAAATATGTGTTCTGGTAACGCACGATTTATAAATCTATCATATTTTTTGCTCAAAAAATTCAACTAAAAATAAAAAGTAGAAACGTCAACATTTCCAGAAGAATAATATACATTTAATAAAATGGCTATCTTCAAATTTTTCAATAAATAAAAAGTTTATTAAAATATAAATATTTATAGTCCTTATCCCTGCAAATAATATACAAAAATAATAATAATAAAAAAAAAAAAAAACAGAATTTAACTTATAGCATTCACAATTTAACATAACACAATATAAAATCTTAAAAATAAAGTAAATAGTTAAAACAAATGAATAATAACACATATATGTTGACTAGTAATAGATGTGTTATAGGCAAAGGTATTCTTTTAAATTTATATATCCAGGGAACTAAGCCATTGCACTGCGTCTATTGTGGCTCTGTGAAGTTCTCTCAATCCTCCTTGTAATCACCGAATATTACATTCACCGACGATATGTGTAGCAGTTTGCATTTCGTGTCCGCAGTCACACCGTTGTGAGGGTTTTGGTAGGTATATCTGGTTTTTACTTCGATTTAAACTAAGAACTAAGTTTCGCATTCTTAAGAATTGAGATTATAATTTAATTATAAAACTGTTGTCCAATAAAAACTCAATTTTCGACACAACTAGGTAGGTGCCATACAAAGTTGTCTAGCTAGACATTAACGAGTTAAAAAGTTAAACGTTAAGTTAGTTTTAACTTTTTCCTCATTTTTACATTGACTCAATAAATAACGAATTAAGTTTTAATTATACTAGGTTAAGTTAATTTCAATTTCTTTTAATTTTAACACAATATTAAATTTACTATCTATGTACTCACAATTAGATAGGTTATTCAGAGGTTTAGTAAAATAAGTTTTAGTCAAAAATAAGTGTGAAATGATAAAATTTTAAACTGCTGGATTCAAACCCTTGCAGTGTATAACAAAAACGATTATCCTTATTTAAAAAAAAAAAAATCACATAGTTCTCCAGATTTATGCATTTTCACTAACTATAACTATATTTTAAAATAATAATAACGAAACAACCTTAAGTTAACTTAAACAATAATATTGTAAGTTACCCAATAATGAAAACATTATGTAGATACGCAAACATATATTTCAAAAAAAAATAAATAACTGATACTGCTGACGGGTGCGCCATAGTTGTTGGTGGGCTCTTGAGACTATCTTCTCAAGATAGGTACGTAAAGTTATTTAATTTATGACCATCACCTAACCATCGACATATGATTCCGAATAAAATTTAGTTAAATATGTTTAGAAAGTTCCGTAATATTTACGATTTTAATTAAAATTTTATCTTAAACCACAATACAAAAAATGCTCCAAATTGCTTAATTTTTTTTTTTTTACCACTAAGTACAACTTATAATGAACCTCGTGTTAAATTCTAAACTATTTCTTTTTGGTCAAACAATTTAATCCACCTAGTACATACCAAAGAAAAACTACGTAAAAACGTAAAATGTCAGTAAATAGCTCAAAAATATTTTCAGAATATTTTGAACATTTTACCACGTCATGTACATGAAAGTCATGTATTTCCATTAACTTGCCCATTAAATTACATTTCTACGTTTTTTCTTGGTTTTGCTCAATTAGGTTTTATTCTAGGTATTAAGAAAACTACACGGAAAATCGACAAACGAATTAATTACTCAACAATAAATTATCTAGAATTCAACAAAAAAGGTCTTTTGTCATTTTTGGTATATAATACAAACCGTAAAAATTCAATGAAATTAATTCATAACGCTGTATATTTTCCCGTTTTTATTTTACGTCTTTTGAGGTGTTTTCCCATTTACTATGAAAACTACTCGAAAAATGAAAAAAAAAAATGGCTTACTTACCCACCAACTCATTGGTATATTGCCATTTATGATTTGAGTAAGATTTCTGGTAGAAAAATTGCTAACAGATACGAAAAATCATAGTAAAACTAAATAGATCCCTCGATGAGCTCAAAATCCGAAACGTTAACAAAAATAGCTGATACGCCGATGGGTGTGCTACTGTTGTCGGTGAGAAGCTGTGAAAGTAGGCTACATAGAATTATTTTACTTATAACTGCACGCAGTAATAAATCATTGTTAACGATATACGATTGTAAACGAATTTTGGTTAAACTTTTTTAAAAAGCCTCGATTTTTACGATTTCCATTAAAAATTGAAAACTCGTGGGGAAAAAAACTACTAAATTACGTTGAACTTTTTTTTAAACCACTATATGAGTACAAATTATGATAAAATTCGCGTATAATTGTCAAGCATTTCTGCACAGCCAGTACGCGAATATTTCAATGTTTCTAGTGTTTTTTTTCTCCGCCGGTGTCATACGTATTTTATTTTTATCATAAGTATTTTTTAAAATTTTTTTTTTATATTAAAATTATTGGTCACATCACATCTAAAATAATAGACGCTTACATATAATTTGTACACCAATATTATACATACATAATTATAGAGTTATTATTCGGCTGCAGGAGGGGATCGTAAATTGCGATATTACGTGCGATCGTCTGCATAGAAGCTGCAATGTTGTAAAATTCAAGGCGATAACTTATACGATAAATTGCATTAACATTAAAATCGAATTAGCGGACTCGTGTCAAGGTATTATGGGCGGTTCTTGTAGGACGTGATTATGGAAAGAACCGGGGAAAAAATCGGCAGAAAATAAATAAACCTCCGGTCGCGGCACGCGGCCGCCGGTGTGATGAGTATACGGATAATTAGAATACTGCGGTGCAGAAATTTGTACGGATTTGCGTGTGTTTATCGGTACGGCGAAAAACAAAATAGCCGTTTTTTATCAAAATGTGATGCAATACGGAAATACGGCGTGCAATTATTTTGTGGTTTTCCGAACGTTTTTATGGTGTATTTTAGGATTTAGGGTTTCTCAACGTTTTTATGGAACATTTTACATGTTTACGTTATACGTTCGTCGGTACAGCCCCGGAACACATAACAATCGTTCGAGATTCATGAGCGTACGACGATCGGACGAGCCACGTTACGCCGTCGCATTATTAGCCGGGTTTCGGACGAAATATATTTTGTTTCGCTCCGAGTCACGGTTTTCCGATTAGGTCTTCGACACCGGTTTCGCGAAACGCATTCTGTTTACGTTCGGTTCGTAAAACGAACACGGTTGCTCTAGCCGGGCCGCAGAAAATTAGCTGCCCCCGCGCTGCAAAGCTTGCCGCCTAGTCATTATACTATTATACAAAACAATGGAACGTTACGGAGTTTCCGAAATTTGTTAATTTTTTTTTTTTTTTTTTTCGAAGGACCGTTACGGGCGTGTGCTGGCCCGCTGCTAGACAGGGTACCGCGGGCGGATACCGACGGGCCGATCTCGTACAGGCGCCCGAGTTAAGTTAATTTACACGTACACGTTTTCGGTTTCTCCTATTCCCATAGTTACTTTACATCCCCTCAAACGACCAGCCGTGCGAATGCTTCGCGAATTCTTATAGAGGCGCCCGAGCGTGTTTATACAGTTCGTGGGCCCCGCGTTCTAACCGTTTTCCAAAACCGGACCCATTGCGCGACCGCGAGCGTGTTCCGTTATAATTATAACGTAGAATAATAATTAACTCTGGATCCGCGCCGAAATCGTACAACATTATATTATCAATATGATTTTTGTTTTGTTTTTTTTTTTTTTTTTTTTTTTACCTCGGCCTTTGTCGGTGTCGTCCGTATAGATAACAGTATTCGTAGAGTAGCGCTGTCGTTCGCGCGAACGGACGAAAATTTGAATCCGTTCGGGTCGCCGTGGAAGAGATAAACGACGTCAGACCGTCGCGCGTGTTGCCGTCGCCGTCGTCGTCGCGGCGTCCGCCGACCGTGATTTCTGCGGACGTCGGACCGACATGATTAAGAGAGACAGAAAAAAAAAAAAACCGCAATGATAACAACCCGATTAAACGAGGATCCGCGCGCGTCGACTGTCGATACACCGATAACGTTGTGGTAATGTCGTCGAAAACCGTCACTGTTTATCGTCACAATATCGTGGGGTCGGTTTGTTTTTTTTCTTTTCCGTTAACGTTTCGGCAATAATATCTGTCGCGACGATCGTCCCGAGTGTAAGCGTTCGCGAGAATTGTATTAGTAACGGCAATAATAATAATTACAATATCGCTGAACGGCCGAAAAAAAAAAAAGAAAAAAGAAAAGAAATGCCGTTCGGACAAAATGAAACGCAGTCGCGTGTTCGCGACCGTATACCGCGGTTATCGTATACGCCGCGGCCGATACCCACGTGGCCCGGCACACTGCGATCGGTAAGCGGAAAAACGCCGGCACGCGACTACATCGCAGCACGACCAACACGTGCACGCCGTCGTCGCGGTCGGCCGACTACTAACCACCGCGGCGCTCGGACCGTGCGACGGTATGCGGCGTCTACCTATGAGGTTAGGCGGTTACGGACGCGGTTTTTCCCCGACGCGCGCGCGACACTATACCGCGGCGGCACCAGTCGTCACTCGTCTGCCCGCGCGCCACCGAAAACGCGTTCCCGAGTTATTACGCCGCCCACGGACACGCGATCTCGGAGGAATTTTTTTATCACACCAACTCCCCACACCCCTAACCATCCACCACGGCACCGCCAACGGCCGATTATTGTAACAGCGTCGGACGTAACCGTAACGGTTAGGTTTTTATTACGCGGGTTAGACCGGGGACAGTACAACCCGGCCGAGTCCACGCTAATACAGCCGTCGATCGATACGCTTTAGATCCGGAGCTGATCGGAGAACGATGACGGATCTATTGTTTTTGACGCGTGTTTTTGTAGTTTTTGTAATGGCTACTGTGACAACGCGGCTTTTCTACCCGCTCCGAAGTATAGAACTATAAAATATAGCGCCCGTATTTTCCCGAGCGGTTATTTTCTCTGAGCGGTGCGCTGAGGAGGTGGTTTTTTTGATTTTCCAATAGGACCGAACGTCATCGGCGTGAACCGGTGCAGAATGCCCGCCGATGTTGGCAATATCGGGAAATCGGTTATCGGTTATTTTTTTTTTTTCTTTAAACCCATATCAGAACCCGATATCTTTCGAAAAAAAATGTGCTCAGTTTAACAAACACGTTACTAAAATAAAAGTACGCCCACGGTGTTTGTGATGGATGCATAATCTTAATGATATCGATAAGAGTCAGATATCGGATAATTTGAATATCGGATCGGTTATCGGACGTATACGGGGAAAAAAATCGGTTTATCGGATATCGGAAAATATTCATATCGCTCACCTCCAATTTCCAAGGGATTTTCGAAATAATTGGGAAAAACCGAAAAAAAAACTATAGGTAAAACGACAAATATTTACGGAACGCCGTTCCGCGGCGTTACCGTTTTCGTGGTTTTCATTCTGTTATACTTAAGTTTTCTACCAGAAATATTACTTAAATCAAAAATGACAAGGGATCAATTTTGTTCCTAATAATTTTTCGCTACTGACAGAGTAGTAAGTCGTTTTTCGATATCGAAAGTAGTTTTTCTAATAATTTGGAAAAACAAAAAATTAAAATTGATTAATATTTACGGCAACGTAGTGCCTCGGTTTATTTTAATATGTTCAACTTATGTTTTCTACCAGATATATTATTCAAATCGAAAATGACAAAATATCGATATTGTTCCTTTTAACAAATAGCCAATGACAAAGGAAATTGTTTTTTGATATCATAAGTATTATTTTTTTTTTTTTTTTTTTATAATAGTTAGGAAAAGTCAAAAAAGACGAAATATAAGATTTTTTTCAAATTACAATGATTTCCTTATTTTAATTTTTACGGCTCATGTTTTCTACCGTGAATATTGCGCTAATAAATAAACGACAAAATAACATTTTTATTATATTTTTAATCTAGTTCACGGGTAAATTATTTTTTTTTTTTGATTTTCTCTGTAGTTTAATTAATAATTAGAAAAAACCAGAAAAAAAACGTAAAATGAAAACTGACAAATTTACGCAGTTACGATTTAAGTATTTTAAATTTGTATGGATTATATTTTTCCCAAAAATATTGCTCCAATAGTTGTTCCAAAAAATCGATTTTCGATTTTCTTTATAGAAGTTTTTACGAAAATAACTGAAATAATTAAAAATTGTTTTAAATATAATTAAATTTAAAATATTTATAAAGATTTAAAATGTAGACAGAAAACTCCTACTTACTTTTTTTGGATGTAGTAAAACTCTCAGAATATTTGAGCAATTTTGAGCTATTTACAAACATTTTAATTTTGCTAGTGTTTTTACGTGATTTTTATTTGATAGGTATTCTGTAGTTGTTAGACTTAACAGAAATACATGAAAATTGTATAGGTGGTTCATTATAAGTCGTACTAAGTGGTTGTTTTTTTTTTAATAGTTTTAAAATCAAACTTAGCTAAAATCGTTTATATAACGGCCTTTCAAATCACCTAACCTAACCTAACCGAACTTCTCTCTGAATGGTTTTTCTTTATCGATGATTTATCATTTATTACAAGTAGAAATTAAATAACTTACTTTAATAATTTATGTATTCCACTTTCCCCACCACACACCATCCACCTACAATAGAGGCTGCGCATAGCTCTTTTTTAGATTGTAAATACGGATATTTTATTAAGTCGAAATTCCAGTGCCGATTTTAGTATAGTTTTTAGTCGAATGACTAGAAAAGGCTCTATTCTAAATACAATTATATGTGTATTAGTTTAAATCAATTTCGGTGTTAAAATTCATGATTTCCGTCATCTTTCAAAGATTAATTTCTAAAGATAATCCACAGTAATTATAAATGAATTTGTTTGGTTCATCCCATGTTTGTTATTCCTTCATGCCAAACTACAAAACGGATTGAGCTGAAATTTTGTTTAGAAGAACTTTGTATAGAACTGCATATATAGTTCTAGATTAAATATAACTTGTAGTCTGTTTTTTTTTTCAAAATCTCCATTAAGAGGGTCTCACACAGGGTTAATGGTATTTTTGGTATGAAAATCTAATTATTTTTGTTGATTTATGGGTTAAATTGGTGACATGGATGAAATAAAAGAAAATTAAAACATAAAAATAAATAAATTTATATATAATAAATAACCCAGGCAGCAAACAGGTATTTTTAAAATTTGAATAAAATATTACAATATTGCTTGTGTAATGTTTTGCAAATTAAATATATTTTTTTGTTTTAAAAATATGATTTAGTTAATATTTTGCCTGTAATATTTTTTTATATTTAAAAAATATTAATTTATCAATATTTTGAAGTAATATTTATTTTCATTGTTTAAACGTTTATTAGTTTACATTTCACGAAGAATATTTTTTTATTTTTCAAAAATATTGGTGAACTAATATGTTTGAATTACAAAAATATTTTAATTTAATTTATATATAATTATTTGATTATTTATGTTATTATCGGCCTGTAATCATTTATTTGCCCCACCACTATAAATATGCAACTACGAGTTTCCATGTATATTAATTACTTTTTTTGATACGCTTTCAAAAAACAAAGTTCAAATGCAGCCACTGCAAGTGTAGGAAGAGATATTGGGAAAGTGAATTTAATTTATATATTTTAGCAAAGATATACCATTGCCAACGAAAAACGATTCTGAGTGAAGCTCGGTGATACATTTTGTTTGGTTTGACAATTTTATTCAAGAGTACCTAGAAAATAAAAAAAAATATATCTCAAATGATTTTTAAATGTCACCACGTCTGGAAAAAGCTATTGTAAGTTTAAATTCTAAATTTCAAGTCGTTATGAATGTTTTTAACCGAATTATAACGAAAAAAAAAATAAAAAAATATTTCTGGTTGTGATCGACGTCCGTAATTATTTAAAATAATGAAATCGTGAAATCGTAAGTTTTTTTTGCTTAATCGCTTTATTTCGAGTACCATTTCGAAAGTCAAAAAATGACCTCCGTACAAAGTACTTTCCTAGGAAAATTACCTTTCAGAAAAGATGCTACACTTGATAATTTTGAGGAAGTTTACTAATAGAAAAGTTGACCACAGACCAAAAAAAAAATAAACATCATTGTAAAACCAGTACATTCCTCGCTTCACTCAGAATCTAAAGTGCTGATATATAGTGTATATATATATACACTATATAAGTACATATATATATATTATAGGGGCGGGTGGGAAGTTATGAAGATTTTTAATTGTAATTGTAAGCAACGATAAACCATCAATAACAATAGTCAATAAACGATTCGGAGTGAAGTTCGTGGTTATACATGTTTAGAAAATCTTTATTAATTATGATTTACGTTAAAATTTGATGTTATAAAATTTGTTGAAAAAAAAAAAATACATAATCTTCTTTTTTTTTTTTTCTTATCGGTTAGGTTGGATATAATAATATTGTATGAGGATGGTCAAAATTGTTATTTTGTTTTTTCTCGTGCGATATATGTTTACATTCATTATTATATGTTGTATATTTTTAGTTTTGTACTGCTGGGTTTTTCTACGTAGTATTCCCAATCACCGTCGGTATTGGTGGCGATGAGAACGACATATGGCGCGCGGAGTGCACAAACACAATCGTTTTACTTATATTTTTACCTCGTTGGTATAGTTCCTATTTAAGTTATTAACGCCCGTTTCCAGTTTGGTGTTATAACTTTTGTTTTTATTCTTTGCTCGTTTTTTTTTTCGCTCTATCGTATTATCAAGTGGAAATTATTTTTCATTTTAAACAATACTCGCCTAGTCGGTCTTGGTTCATTAAATCATTTGCTATTTTACCGTTATCTGCTATGCGAATACGGCCGATAATTTTGATCGCTGAGTTTATTGATTTTGGTACCTACAGCTGCAGCCAAATCATAGTAAATACCAAGTAAGTACCTACTTACTTGTGATATTATCGTAATCGTTATTAATTATAATATAATAGGTAATATAATTATTATTTAGAATTTTATAATTTTATTTTAATTTTAAAGTATTGGTAGGTTTATATGTATAGTTCGGTAGACAGGGACTGGAACCGTACCGAAAATAACCGGTTTTGGAACTGAAACCCTTTCAATATCGGGAACCGCAACTTCATCGAAACCCTAATTCAAAATCATTTTTAAAACCGGAACGTCGCCGGAATACCTGTATAATTTTATTTAAAAACCAGAACCTCATAAGAACCCTTATTTATATTTATTCAAAATCCGGAACTTAATCGCAATCCATACTTTATTGCTAAGGTTTTTTACGATTAATTTCGGTTTTAATTAATTCCATTAATTTTATTTGTATCTGTCATTCATAAATGGTAGGTAATAAGAACTAAACAAATACGTAAATCTGTTATTATTATTAATATTATTATCATTATAATTATTGTTAAGAGGATTAATAATATTAAAAAATAATCGTCCAAAATATTTTGTACAAAACAACTGAATACTGATAATTTAACAGAAATTCCTAACAAAAATAAAAGTCATTATTTACTGAATATTATGTACCTTCTAGTAACTACAATAACAAGCAATACAATTCTGAAAATGTGGTTAATGTTTATAAATAATTGTTAAACACATGTTATGATTGTGTATATTATAATATTATCGTTATCTGACGTTATCTAACGTACTGCATCTACTGTATCTCACCCAAATTGACGCCAACAAAACTTAACCAAAATTTCTAACATAAATATAAAAATAAAATAGGAAATAGTTTTCATTTTTTTGAAAATCGAAAAGAAACCGATATTGAAATTTCAGTTATTTCAGAACCGGTATCAAAACCGGAACCCCCCCGCCCCTTTTGTTTTCTTACTAGGTAAGAAAACCGAAACCAGAACCTCAATGTTGATTAAGGTTCCAGTCCCTGTGAGTAGGTACCAACCTTTTTTTTTTTTACTAACTAGCTATATAGGTAATATATATAAATAAATAAATATACAGGCACAAAATCGTAAACCACAACTTTCTCACGACTTTATGCCCGTGTTGGTATTGTCAGTATTGATGAAACAAAAAATTGAAATAAGAACTTGTTTTCCCATGACTTATTAGCCTATACATTTTTCCATCCCCAGCTATATTACTGCAGTTAAAAGTATTACAGTTTACTAAGCAATTCATTTTAATTTCTGAGTGAAAGAAGGAATTTATTGGTTTTATAATGATACTGGAGACGGATGCAGCTACCGTTGTAAGTGGGAAGTTGGGATACATGGTATTTCCATGCACTGATCAAATATTTCCAATTAATTATTCTACAGTTGAAGTTCAGTTAAAATGTTAACCAAGTGACAATAAAATCACATTTCTAGTTTGACTGGAGTTTAAATTCTGGAGAATTTAAATACTGATTGTAGATTGATAAAATAGCCCCTTATACACATAATAGTTTTATAAAAAAAAAAGATCATAATTACAAAATAACCGTATTTATAATTAATATAATGGTTGTATGTTTCAAATTAAATTTAACAAAATCAAATGATCCTGACTAAAACAAAATAATACAGCTTAATCATTATATTATATATTTAAATTTTCTATATTAAATATATTTAATAATTAATAAATATAAGGTTTCATTGTAAGGCAGCATGTTAAGTATCTAAAAAAATACACATTTTTTTGAAATTATCACTTACGACTTCGCTTTTCTGAAATAAATATATATTTTCAAATTCATTTTTCTATTCTATAAAATGTTTTCAAAACATTTTTTTAATTAATATTTGATATCTAGAGTTGTACATTATTTTAATATTACAAAAATTAATTAAATATGTTCAACATATTTTTAAAACATTATTTTGTAATCAGAAAAAAAATCTTAATTAAATGTTTAAAAAACAAAATAAAAAAAACCAAATATTTTTTTGCTGTTTGGGAATAGAGTAACATGTCCAGTTATTGAACATTTAAGGATTAGTTCAACTAAATGGTTTATTGACCAATTTCTTTTATACATTTATTCATCAAAGGCTAATTTATAAATCAATAAATCTGTCTATTTTTTTAACGAATATACTAGATAAAATATTAAATTCAAACAAAATTAACAATATTATTAAGTTAAATAATTATAAAATACTATTAATTAAACATTTTTAGTCCAATATTTGAACACTTAATAATTTTGGTTTAAATATTTATATCAATTACTTATACATAACATAGATTAAATATAATTATGTTTATAGCAATATAAGTATATTGTATAATTGAATGCCTCTTGAAAATACCTTACAAAATTAGTTTTAGTAATAGTATTTCCAGTCCTTCTATTCCTCCTACAATATTTTTTTAACTGGCTTTCAGTGGTTTAAAAATCGCCCCATCACATGGCAGCATAATGTGGGTACTGTTTGGTGGTAAACAATATAATATTATATTACGAGTGATACAAAACTCAGCTAACTTTTAACTTAAACGGCTTTTATGGCCATCGAGAAATAAAATTACAGGCAATTTGATTTTCATATTAAGTAACCATGTATAAAATCCATTAGATATGTACTCGAAAAAAATACTACTGACCATTCAACTAGTATCTAACCTTCCAATTAGCCATTTTCCAGGGAAAGAAGTCATTATCGAAGTCGATATTCTTTTGTATGGATAAAAAACCATCGGTAGAGTTCCTCCACCATCAGCACTATAAGTACATAGTACAGTAACACATTCTTTCTCATTCCCAGATGCAATATCATAAAAATCCTTTAACGCATTTGGTCCAAAAATACGCCCCGATTCTGGGCATGTTTGCAATCCCGTTTCATCACAGTTGAAGAAACGTCTGGGATCATTTAAAATATCACGATAAGAACAGAACAATACATTTTCCCCGTTTTTCCTCTGGTCTTGCATTTTTAAATGGTGATGAACGTGAGAAATCATTAAGCACCTTTTAGAGTCTTTTGAATTATCTTTTTATAAAGGGAATCCAAGTTTAGCGTTATTTAATATCCAACTTTTTATTTTATTTTATTTATCTATTGTTAAGTATGAAGTTGGGAACATTTTTATAATCAATGGAGTTTTGCCAGAAATGTTCATTGAAAGAGTAGATTTTGGTATCCCATATTAAACTACTGCTATATTTAAAGAAAGTACTTTATTATTTATGTCAGTTAAAGCAGATTCCATGTTTGTTTCCGAATATTTGAATTGTTTAGCCATTCTGCAAAAAAGACATTATCTATTACATTATAAATTATCATTGCTTATTATAAGATATCTAACACTTTACTTTAAAAAATACAAAATATATAAAAACAAATTTTATAAGATAGATTACAAAATTTTATTTATCAAGTATTGTGCCTAATAGGTGTTAGATATTAGTTAAAAGTACCAACTGTATGTTTCGCACTCGAATATCTTGCAGTGAAAATACCTGTTTAATTACTAGATTAAATTACTTTAGAGCTATATCATATTATATAACCAAAAAAAATCCTAATCATTAACAATTTATTTTGTGTGAAAGTGGAAAATAATAACTATTTTTGATAAATATTAGTAATTGAACACCCATTTATTGAAAAAACAAAAAGAAAAAAGTTGACACTTACATGAATGAAATTCACTCAAAAAATTTTATTTTGTTAAATAAAACTAATGAAAGTGTAATATAATAACTACTCATACACCTATTAAGTATCCACAAATGGTTTATACATCGCTTACTTAATAACATTGCTCCAATATCGTAGAAAGTCTGAAATGCTGATTTTAAAAAGTTTCCAGTTAATTCTAATCACTAGTAAATGCGATTATTAATGTTTTACAGTTTGGCCATAAAGTCAAATATCTGATGTTCACTAAATTATCTTAATTAGTCAAACTCTTTGCTTAATCTTTAAATACAAATTGACGTCGTTCAATTTTCGGAGGGTATTCTGTAACTGGACTTTTTACATAATTTTATATTCTGAATGAAATGAGGAATGTAGTGATTTTACAGTGATGTTTATTTTTTTTTTTTATATGAACACTTTTTCTACAACAAATCATACTCTAATTATCAAATATAGCATCTTTTCTAAAAGGAAATTTGCTCTGGGTGATACTTTATAAGAGGTTATTTTTTGAAATTCTCATTAATATTTGAGATAATGAAAAAAACCTCGGTCTTTAGGTTAAAAATATTGAAAGATTAAAAATAAGATTATTATTGGCAACCGTTTTTATTTGTTTTTTGTTATTATTAAGTTTTTATTATTTTAATCTTTCTTATACAATTATTGTTGTCATGAAAATCCACACTGTTTTAATCATTTTACCATAATATAACATAATACCATATATTGATAATGTTGACACAGCAACATTATCAACTGAACTCACCTCAGAAATGTTTTTTTCGTTAACAATAGTTTATCTTTGCTTACAAATATATATATATATATAACTCCTGTCTATAACCTACCTTTCCAACTTCCCACCTGCAACAGTGGCAGAACCCACGTGCGAAGTATGCCCGTACTTTTTTTATTTTCCTTCTAAATAATATCATTGACATACCTTGCGTTAAAACAAATAATTGTTTAAATCGCGGTTTACATTGCCTGGGTATACCTCATTGCTCGGGCCAAATAATACACTTTGTCTGACATTGCCTGTATCATATATAACAGCGGTTCATAACCTTTTGTAGAACATGGATCCCCAATGAAAGATTTTTAGAAATCGCGGACCCCCTACCAATTTTTTGTCAAATACTTTTTTTTTACAAAACATATCTAGTTATCATAACCAAAATTATAAAAACTATTTTATATTAAAAATTATAGAAGTAGACATAACAAAATACACATTTATAATTATTTTTATTAAACTTAATTTTTCATTTTAAACTTTAACATCATTAAACATTTAAATTTAAAACAAAAATTGTAATATAAATTATTTTATTCTTAATATTCTTAAAACTTAATTTTTTTTACTTAATTATTAAGTCTTAATTCGATGGTTGATGTTGCATTTCAGTTACGAGTTTTTGAACATCGGGCTCAATACTCGAAAGCTTTAATCGTAGTTCAGATTCTACGTTTTCTATTCGGTTTCGAAACTTGTTCTTAATATAAACGAGGGCAGAGAAGGTTTTTTCACATAAATAAGTTGTGGGGAATGGAATCAAAACTTTCAGAGCTTTACTCAATAATTGTGGGTAATCCTTTCGAACATGCAACCAAAAATGTTTTAATGACTTTTGATTGAATTGAATTTTTAAACTAGTATCTGTAGAAATGTCTACAAAGCTGTCTTCTTCCAATGATGTCAGACCAATTATTTGATAAATATCAATTTCAAAAGGTTGTCGAATCCAAATTCTACTTATATCTGGAACAGTCACACATTGAGGTTTTGGTTCTTCTTCAGAACCGTTGCACGTAAAGCCCATTGATAAATAATTATTATCATACTTACGAAGTTTTGTTGACTTTCCTTTTTTCATACACGGAGTCTTTTCATTATCAATGTCCAGAATTCTTCTTTTTTAAATTTAGCCAACGTTCAATTTTAACTTAAATGTCTTTAAGATGATTTGAAAATATATCACGTATTAATCGTAAATTATGTAGGTATAAAACAGATTAACTGAACTTATTGATAGTATATTAGGTGTTAAGGCTGCCGCGGACCCCCGACATGAGTATTGCGGACCCCCATGGGGCCACGGACCACAGGTTAAGAACCACTGATATATAATATTAATAATATTTAAGAGAAAAAGGTTATAGGGAGTTATTTCCCTTTAATCACTTCGCCCGTTTGTTCACCCATAGCTTAAGTCCTAGGATACTGCTTTTATACGAGCCTCTAAAGTACGTGGAAAATTGATAAGGTATAGGATACATGCAAGGTAATTCACTAAGCATGGTTTCAGAATTGTTTTTCGTTAGCAATGATGTATCGTTACTTGAAGATTTAAATTAAATTACTTTATGTACAGGGTTATTCATTAAGTGTATTCACTCCTTTTTTTTTGTTGTTAAATAAGTGTATTTAAAGGAGATATTTTTCGATTTTTTAGAACATTTAAGGAGTATCCTGTGGCAATACTGACTTTGGTTTTTCAAATGAGAACCTATATTAAAAATATTCCATACATGTAGTGCCTACCTATTACTTTACATACATTTTGGTATCAACATTTTTAATTTCCGTCAACCCGTTAACGAGATATTCCACTTTTATGTTTATTATCATTAAACATATATATTGCTTTTATATCGGCTTCTTACCTTTTTTATGTATTTGAAAGTTATTCATCTTTTGTATTGCTAGGAACAAAGAGTTAATAATAATTTTTTGTATGTGTTACCATAGTATTTATTTTAGTTTTGTAATGAAATAAAATATATTATTGTCATGTACTCATGTAGAAACGTTGAAGACATACTGGACCACTGAAGGCGTATGTAAGGGATAAGTTGGATGGAAAGAAACACAAATGAAGAAGTACTAAGAACTGCAAAGGAAAAACGGACATTCATAGATACGACTAGGACACGACAATGGAAAATTATTTGAATGATCTGATCTTTTCTTGATTTCTTTGTTTTTCTTGTAATGATGATGTAATCACACAGGCGTGTTTAAAAATACCTTTTGTTATTTCATGTTGGTACTTATTCAAATATTAATAACCATTTGTGTGTGATGGATGCGACTTTTCCAATTATATTGATAATTCCATGCTCATTTTTGAAAACGATTTCAAAACCATTAGATTTTAGTTTGCCTACAGAAAGAAAATTATCAGTGAGACCCGGGGCAATTAGTATGTTTTATATTTTAATTGTAACTATTTGTCTATATATATATATAATGAAGTAGGTATCTAGTTCTCTAATAGGTATAGTCGTAAGCGAAGTTTCCGAAGCAACGTTTATGATTACTGGCTTCACCAACTTTCTGATATTCGAAAAAATATCGACATTGCAAGCCAAATGTTCCGTTGCACTGGAATCCAGAGAAATTGACAGTTTTCCCTGCTGTTTTTCTACTAGTTATAGCTGAAATCGAATACTGTTATTCGATGTTTGTCGTGTAGTTTTTCTTTGCCAAGTTTGCATTTTGATTGCCACCATTTTTGTTTCCTTAACCTCCTTTCTTGCGAAAATCTCTCTTGTGCCCGAAACCACCGAATGGGTGACCGCAAAACTTAAGCTTATTGTGTGTTTTTTCGGCTCCAGACTTGCGTTCGTCAATCCTTTGACACATTGTTCTATGTCGTCGAAGACAACGTCATAGTAGAAATCACCTGATCGCATTTGCTCGTTTTGACCATGAAAACATTTTTCGTTTTATTCATTCATCACAAACTAGAGTAAATTCTTTAAAAATGATTGAACGGTATTGAATATTATTAGAATTGTTAATCAAAGGACCATCTAAATGTTGATTACAAAACAAAAGGATTATTGTTTGTAATAAATAGTTTTTTCTTTAAGTGTCATATTCGATTCTTCAAGCCCATGTGCCATCTGTTGCAGTGGTTTATTATCTTTTCTTATTAGTTTTTTAATTTGAATCATTAAATATTTAAAACAAAAGTTGAAAAATTATCCAATGCTTTATAATTATATACATCATCTACAATATATAATAAATTGTACATATTATGATGAGTACCATAAATTGTAGAAAATGGTGAAACAAAGTAGATTATTAATTTTTTGACATATTCTAAATATTTTAATTGAACACAATACTTTATAGAACATAAGATGAAAATAAAAGTATGAAGGGTGAGAAAATTAATATACACTTCTCTAAGATCTTTAAGAACTATAGGACTTAAATATAATAGAAATTGTCTAAATTCCGTTGATTTTCATTGTCGAAAATATATGAGAGATCTTGGTTTTCGTTGAAACTTACCAGACAGACACAGCTGGTTTTACACAGTTCACCAATGCATATAATATTATTTTAAATTTCTTAGAGGACAGTCGCACATTTAAAATATCAGTTTGCCAATGAATTGAAAGTTTTTTTTTTACTATTCTAAGACATAACAAATGTTGACAGTCTAAAGCCTTGATGAAACTTATCATCAATATGCTTAACAAATTGCTGATCAGTTCTTTTTTGGCAAATATATATGTCAGAAAAACATAATCTTCTTTCAATAAATTCTCCTTCTACAAAAAACTTAATGCATCTATTATATCCTGTATGGTATTCTGGTATTTAATATTTAATGCTAATGCTTTTGCAGGAACATCAGCAAAAAGCCCTTTAATTGTTAACATAAACATTTTGCTATTCAAATAAAATTGATTTATATATAGCTTGGACATTTCATTTATGAAATTGTCTAAAAAAAAAATGTACATCCACTGGTTTACTTATTAATGAGTGATAAATATCAATAATAAAAACAAATTTTGTCCCAAATAGACAACCCAATATTGGCCATAAGTGATTTCCATAAGAATTGCTAATTGGTAACCCATCAATATTAATAATAATGTCTAATATGTCTGTGGTTTAAATTAAATGTTTATTGGTTAGAAGAATCTCTCCAATGCCTTTATATAATCCTCTGTGATTATAGGAACCTGACTCATTCTCTTTTAATTCAGTGTATCCTGGTGTTTGTAATAGAGTTCTTGGATCTATTGGAAAAATGAATCTAAAACAATCATGTTCTGAATAGTTTTAAAAGTGAATGAGGAAATTTTAATGAAATACTTTTTTTTATGGTCCGAAAAGCTAATTAATTGCTAAAATCTGTTGGTTTTTGTTCATTTAAATTTTTGTTTATATATATAGAATCAGAATACACAATTCAATTATAAGTTCAAAATTAGAAAGATTCTAGTTTAAGGGTATTCTGGTATGAGAAAAATTTGATGTTTCAATTGGTTCAGGAATAATTTAAATTATATACAAATTCAAAACGTAACATATTTAAAGGTTGAAATTCTTTCATTTCGATATTAGCAAGTCTCCTGCGTTGCCAATAGAAAGTGTACTAAATGGTTTTAATTTTTTTCGATATTTACTAAAAGAAAAAAAAATGCATTTTATAAATATGCACACCATCATATAGAACAATATAGTTATATATAATAGGTACACTTATTTGTTTTGAATGTGTTTACAAAAATAAAATTATAAAATGGGAACATTTTGAAAAAATAAAAATGTGTGCCTATATTTTATGTATAATGTCTAATATTAGACATGAGAATATCTCGATCTGACTTTATAATTACAACTTCCCAATTACAAATACAGATCAATATCTTATGTTTCATTAAATTAATTAAAAATTTATATAAAAAATATTTATGTAACTGAACAACTAGAGTATACACTCAAATGGTTTATTTAAAAAAAAATAGATAAGCAAATAAAAGTATAACATAAAGTGTAGTTACAGTATAGCTATAACATGAAAAGATAATCTAATCTAACCAAAGTCATGACTCATTATTTAAATCAGTTATATAACTTGTGTACAGATTCTATTGTGGTTTACAAACTGTTGCTGCTTCAATTTAATAGTCTGCTGTGTTTACATTTACAAAAAACTCAATTTGTTAGGGGCTGCATTATTTTCATTATTACTATAAGATGAATAATCAGTAAGCTTCATTTAAATTTGTAGTTTCATTTCCTCTTCATCACATCTAAAATAACAATCAAAACAATTCAATTTTAATTGATATAAATTAGACAATTTATTGTCAAAATATTAAACAAATAATTTTTACATTTACATTTACATTAACAAAATATTATTAAATAATAAATTAGACTTCTATAGGTGCACCTTAAGAGAATAATAAATGTGAAATACAATTATAAACAATTAATTAGTGAAATGTAATAGTTTTAGATATTGATAAATCCTATTTTATCTAAGTAGGACTATATATACAGTATCATGTGAAGTGTTTAGTTTTATAAGCCAGTGTCCCACTACTATTGAACTTATAATATTTAAAATTGTAAACCAAAGTGCTATAGGCAATGATCTTGTTTTAATCAAAGTATAATAGAATCCCACAAAAAAAATCGCAATCCAGGCTCGAAAAACAGCATTAACATCACTATAATTTAAACTATTTTGGTTAATTTGATAACATTGTACAATAATTATTAAATATGTAAATTCATTATGATTTTAATATATTAAAACTAAGAATGGAAACGTTTTTAGTTGAACAATTTTTACATGCATAAAAATAATATTTTCTATTATTGTTATATAAATCCCTTCAAATATGATTAACATATAATATTCTATTCAATTTAATATTTCATAAATATATAATAGACCAATGATTTAGCCAAACATTATTTAAAATTACAGTATTTATATAGTAATTTGTACAGGAGCTATATTAAGGAGGATAATACTATTGGTTGTACAATTTGTAT